GCAGTCGTTTACACATTCATGCATCAAGGGGTGTCTGAAAGCGCGACAGGAACAGGAGTGCAATCAGAGTGTATTTTGAAGTAATTGGAGTCCGCCAGTACAAGTGTCTATTTTCAAACACGAAAGTCGAAAAGGCGGAAAGTCGCATCACACTGGTTTTCATATAACAGTCGCAGTGCAAACCGATTGGCTATTGTGCGCCCATGTCACCACATAGAAAAAAGCTGAAGATCAGGCATTTTGCTGATTAAGTGGTTGTCAACCTTTCACAGCAAATGATGGGGGTGATATATGGTTACGTGTGCAAATACATATGTTTTTATGAAGGGGGTGATCAAGGGGAACAGTGTTATAACGACTCGCATCATCAATCGATATCAACCGAAAAGCACATGTGGTACTCCTCGGGCGATAAATCGATTACAGACATTGAACTGCTCTGCCAAGGACTGACTAGTTTTAACTGTGAATAACGAATCAATCAATAAATATTACCATTGTTCTCGCAATGTAAAACATGTTCGAAAAAATTTTTCCATAAAATCGTCTTACTGGCAACTGAAATACTCCTAATAATTAAATTAAATTAATGAGCTACTCCTGAGAACAAGAACCCAAAACACAAATGTATTCAACTTTAGGCTTGAGAGTACTTCATCTTTCAAAAAACATTTAAGTGGATTACACAGTATGATCAGTTTTATTATTGTATGAACTCTGACATACATAATTTGCCTGTTATTTCGATTACGACCAAGAATGATTTAGTGATATACGAAATGAAAGTGAATACAGAATGAAACACTTTCTCAACGAGGACAGTGTAACCAGTGGATCAATAGACAGTCTTTCACGTATCCCGCTAGTGGTACGGACTCCGTCTTGATTTTTACCCCTTGTCGATTTGGGACGTGGTCTTGCCCTATGCCCCCTTATCAATCAGCCAAACCCTCTTAGAATTGATAAACAGACTGATCAAGACTGTCCTGACCTGTCTGACAATCATTTCTCTTGATACATTATTAGAATTTTCGAGGTCATGTGATTTACTCACCAATTTAATTTAATTAGCATCTCATCCACTTAGTCGCCGCATGCTCCCAAGTAAAGCTGTCGGAGTGTGTTTCACGACGGTTCGAAGTGACGCAACTCCCTAGCTAGGTGTGGTAGTTACAAAGGACACAAAACCGTCATCAGTGATTCATCAGATAAGCATCATAGTATACTGGTATGCCAATAAAATTTCCAAGGGTGAACAAAAAGGACTGTGGGTATATGATTGCTTTCAAGACGACTAAGGTAAGGATTGTTTCATGTTTTGGGCAAAAATGAAGTTCAACCACGGATGACTTCAATAAGTTTGGCGAAACGTCTAGACCTGAGAGCGTCCACATAGCTTATATAACTTTAGATACGAAATTTCAATGAGAATCATGTTTGAGAACAATCTTCGTTGATATCAATTAGCTCAAAAATTGCATTATAATATACTTTCTGATTTGTTGTTCTTTCACCCACTTGCATAGCAAAAACGATGAAGATCAAGGGTGAACAAAAAACTGCCTAACTAATGGCAATACAAATAGTTGCAACATTAGAAAATTCGATACACAACAGAAATGACTAGGTGCATCAAAGAGAAAATTTAATCAGTGGATGATTGACTTAATTGCAGTGGCCCAAAGAAGCAAACCTAATACGACCAATATAGCCAAATTCCGTTACCCAATGTTTCATATCCTCTGGTTAGTCCACTAACTGATCCACTATGACCTCTTTCCAAGTGAATCCTGTTTCATAAAACATCACCCAAAAAGAGGTAGCGAATCCTATTACATGTCTGGCACAGATTGTGATCTCCTCAATCTCTGAAAGCGAAATACCTGAAAAATAAGTGAACGCAATCACCTCATAGGGCTCATTTTACTTCGGTATTTCTTGCTCAGTGGTCCCAGCAGATTTGTTTCAGGTTTTACAACCATTAACCATGCACTTTGGTGTGCTGGTTTTGGTTGCCGTCTTCTGGCTACCCATCTGGATGAACAGTGGAAGAAAGACGGGAAGGTTGAAAGTTGAATCGAAGAGAGAATTGAGAATTTCGGTAGACTAAGGTTGAAAAGAAATCGAGAATATGCACGAACGCCACTGTTTACGACACTCATGCTAGGTCTTAGTTTGGCCACCCTTGGCTTTATTCCACCCACTAAACATGGTCAAACTACCGCTGCGTTCTATGGTCGATTCAGGGGATGACCGGGTGCTACAATGACATTTCAGATGTTGTAAGTTTCCAAGCTCTGAATGAGCTTTTTATTTTGCTACTAGTTCGAAAATTTACCCACTGCCCAATCAGTGCATTGTTCTACTTCGTTTGATTTGTATGAGGAGCTGGACAACCACAAATCTATTCCAGTGCTTTATACTTTCAAACTGCAAAACGCATGTCAAATATAGATCCACTAGTAATCAGACAATTCACAAAAGCTTGTGATTTACCAGAATTTCAGGCAAGTACGAATGGTAACAAAGAAGCCGTTTAGGATGAATGAGAACACGAGGGCCGAGATTTTCGATAAATGGCAATAAATTTCAACTCGTTTACATCCTTAGATTGGATATCTTGTGGTATAAAAAATCCATGAAGGGAAAGTGGTTAATCACAGAGCTGTTGTGATACAACGAAATAGGAGGAAGTCAGGCGATGGTGGTGAGGCCCCAACACACGACCTCCGTGGGGATAAGTTGGTGTCCTAAACCGTTCTACCCCGTTCATCCTCGATTAATTTCTCCCTTCAATCCCGCTGTACCCCAATCTACCTATCCCCTATTATTGTTGTTGTTATTATTAGTGTAGCGTTGACACCATACTTGTCTACAAGCCAGTGATATATATATATATATACATATATATATATATATAATATTTTGGCCTACATTTGGGTTTTACCCAGAAGTCCTCAAACAAAAAATGATGCTGAGTTAACTTGAGTGTCGGCTTGAAACTAGATGGAAAAAGACTGTTGATGGAAATTCTCATCAAGATGGGAAATGAG